GCAGTCTGGAAAACAGAGCAATCTTTTTTTTTTACATTTTCCTGCAGCGATTGTTCTATCTAAAGGGCAGCTGGGAGAGGCAGTGTGTCACTGTAAGGCTGGACATCTTCATTACGATCTCGCCCCAGAGCCCCGTGGCAGAGAGGAAAATGCATCTCACCTGATGTTGCTGTGGGGCTTTTATAGCAACTGTTTGGTCAACCATCCATACAAAGTGCTCCAGATGCTGAATCCACACAGGAGTAGCCATATGCTTCTTTTTTTTATTGCAATGTGATGTACGAGTAGAACAAATAAACCGAAACTTCAGATTTATCTTTTTAGATAGTGCAGGAAAGAAATATCAGGGGTGTGTGCCACAAAGTCACTAACTGTCATGCAACTAGAAAACCATTAGTCTGCCTTAGCAGAGACTGATGGCTAATGAAGCGAATGCACACCAAAGTCTCGTGGGGCGGGGAAGACAGAAGACACAACTCTCATTTATATGCGCCTCATATACCAGCCCATCTGATTTAGAGGTTCAGGACCAACACAGACCAACGCTCTGAGAGCTACACACAAGTGATAACTGCCCCTAAGCAAAGCAATAAGGGATGAGATTACACACAATGATTTATGATACTAGTAATCTGCCTAACATACATCTTGATTCACCCCTCAGAGATAACATCTATACATTCAGCACTGCATGTATATTCATTCCTTAATGCTTTACAACATGTAAATACCCAGGTTTGGACAATTTCAGGTCCCATTTGATTGATATCGATATTCTGCTTGTTCGTTAAGCACCCCTGCCTCGACGCCACGCTACAGAAGTCACTCAGCCCTGATGGCAGGCGGGCTTCCTCTGTAAATTACATTGTTGTGTTTTCTATGGAAAATGTGCAATTCATTCAACCTGTGAAATGTAAAACAGTCCCGAGCAGCAATTACAATTGTTGCTCCTGATTGCAGAACAGACCGTATGGCCGCCATAGATTCAGTTCACTAAAGCAGTTGTGAATACAAAAACAATTGGTAGACAAACAAAATGTAAATGCTAAATGTTTTAATAATTGATACATCATGTATGTTGTTTAAACCAAGCATGGATGCTGTATACTTTCAGATTCCAGCTATTTGCTGCTTTTTTTCATTTTATATCACAATACATTCAATGCATGGTTTTTAAAACCAGTACCAATATAGAAATGCATTTTCAACAAGTCACTTTAGACTTCAGGAAATTGTGATTGACATCTTTTTCCTCATATTTTATGGAATAAAAGATTCAACCATTGCTAACAAAGTAATCAACTGAATAATCGATAATGTCATTAGTTGTAGCCCTATACTGTATATGTAGTCAGATTTAGTAGATATGTTCGTGTTATGTCATACCTTGCAGTTGGAAATGATCATCATTTAATCATGCAGAGTTTCTAGGAAATAATGTCAACACACCATCTTCATTCATTTCTAACTGCCTCTTTTATCTTCAATAACATTTACTACTACTTATTAAGGTTCATGATCTACAGATCTTAATTTATACCCCCAAGATATTCCTTTGTTTCATATCACGCTGTGTTAATTAATAAATAATTTGCCCGAGCAATTTTGAGATAGTTCTATATTTCCCTGCTTTATATTTAGTAAGTGGGCAGCTGTGTCCCTTGACTGTGTAGCTTCATTTTAATGTAGCTTAGCCTTCAGCAATATGCTCAGCTTTTTAATCCTTTCATGTACTCTTCACACAGCATGGTGCCATTTCCCGGCCCCAAAGTCTTCTCCTTGTTGGTTTAAATACCAAAATTACTATATATTTTAACATATAATTAGCAGTGAATTATGTGATTCAATGTAGTATAAAGGGTGCATGTTGAGCCTAATTAAGACCCACATTAAGGCTGCAGCCACACGGAGACGATACGGGTCGTATCCGTTACAGTTCTCTATCGGTTCGGCCACACGAGGCCGACAGGGAAACGCAGAAACGATAACGGGTCCCAAGGGGGGTAGATCTGCAGACGCAACGCTCTGGGGGGGGCAAACGGCTCCGTGATTACGATACGATAATTTCCTGATAATGAAAATACTGACGGGCTGTCAGGAGAGGGGGAGGAAAAGAGACACTCCGTATATTATTCTTATATTATTATATAGAGTCGTTATTCATTTGTTTTAAAGCTCAATAAATAACAAAGAAGACCTTTGACCGGCGCTTTTATAATTTTGTCCGGGAGATTTAAACTTTAATGGAAATGTTGACCGGCGAAAAAACGGAAACTCTGCACGGTTCCCTCGTCCCTTGGAAGAGGCGGAGAGGTGGGTGTTGTTCATCTGCTGGTGGATTTACAGCAGGAGCACACGCTTGCCTCAGGGAGGGAGAAAAAGAGCCAGAGCCCTGGCCCCTGCCCTGCCTCTCCCCACCTCTGCTGCTAAATCCACCGTGGAGAATAAACAGAAGGGCAACCATGGCAACCATGCATGCTCGTGAAGTCTTCTTCGCTGCTTTTGGTGTATTTTGTGGCGGAAGTACAGCGCCACTTACAGGCCCCGCATATGTACTACAGCGTCTCCAGCGGGTCGAGCGGTCTCGTGTGGACGGACACGTTTCTGGTGCCGATTGCGTGTGGACGGAAGACTTTTTTGATATCGACTACGGTTCGTTTTCGTTACCGTCTCCGTGTGGCTAGGGTCTAAAAGTAACATGATTGACTTGCTAGTCCATTTATCCACAGGTGCTGCACCATTATATCGTATGTTAAAGAATACATTCAATTATAATCCAATTAGGATTCAAGTTATTATCAAACATGCTGCAGTTTCTTATAGCTGTAGTTAAATATCTATTTTTGCTTCATGATATCAAGTGATTTAATGTTGTGTGGCATGATTCACTTTGATTTAAGTTGGCAATCCCCTGATATCTGGTGGCTCCCTGTTGCCAAAAACATACGTCATAGTCATGAAGGTCGAGATCTCAGTCCATAAGTGTGTCTGTCATTCATTTACTCCTCTTCCTATCATTCTTGAGCATCTGGCCTGGAGAGCTCCTCAGTTTACGGACCCTTTTCTGTCATTGAGCAAACTGACAACCCCTGACTAAGTGATATATTTTATGGATATGTCATATTTTATTACATGCATAACATTAACAGTACAGATTAACTGATATATTGTATAATTAACTCAACTAGCAAACCAAATAAAGGATTCTGAGGAAAGCGATAATTGGATAATTTAGAGCAGATTATTTCCTGTGAATAATGCATCAGGGATGAATTTTCATCTTACTTTATGAACTTTTAATGCAATTCTCTCTTTGTATTTTTAATAATAATTAGTACTTGAGTGTGTTCTTCTTCCTGATGCTTAGCCATTGTTGAATTAGTTCTATAGTTGTTTTAACTGCTTACTTTTCTAATGACAGAAGAGACTGTTTAACAGAGAGGAAAGGCTTGGGAATATAGAAGTTATGTTCAGATGTTAACTGTGCACTAAATAGTTTATAATCTTACATAGTAATCTTAACTATAAATAAAACCAATTTCCTCAGTTTTCTTCCCAGAAAAGTTGTCTTAAACCCCTCTAAGTCGTGAAGCATCGCGACCATCTGTGAAGCTTTGGCAACCCCTCATCTAGCTTTTGCTGGTGCTCAGTTCTTGACTTGAAGAATTGAAAACATTATGAGATACTCTTTCTGTCTTGCATTAATGATCCATCTTGAACTCAAGCTGATGAAGGAAGAAGAAGCATCTCTAGCGGCATGCTAAACGGCCCCTGTTGAATACATAATGTGCTCTGTACTGTACATACAAAACTGTTGAAACAGCTGCCTCTTTACACGAGGTGAGCACAGCAGGAGTGGACTGACAAAATTAGTTTATTCATTTGTCAGGTGAATAGGAACCTGCAAACCAAACTACTTTTAAGCACTCTTCTTCAAATTAAAACCATGGACAGCTGAAATGGACAGCAACCGAAATGTAATCAACAAGAATTACTTGGTCTGTCCAGTTACTTAAATCGGAGGATTTCATGCTATACTTTCATGTATCTTAACATTTCTTTGGTTCAAGACTGTTTGTCTTTACATAAGAGGATATTTTAAGATGCATCACTGGGCTCTTTTGATGGACATTTTTATCCCTCACATCTTATGTCAAATGATGATTAGAAAATAAAAGACGGATTAATAAATAATGAACATTATTATTATCATTTGAGCGTTTGTAATTGCCAAAATCACTTTTTTCAGCTTCTTAAATGAAATATTTCCTGCTTTTCTTCCATATCAGTTACTTGTGTATTTTTGAAGTATTGGTCAGATGAAAAAAGCAATCTGTCCATGTCACCTCGGGCTCTGGGAATATAGTATCAACATTTTTCACCATTTTCCGACATGTTGTAGATCAAACCCTCAACCGATTATAGGAAATCATTCTCACATTAATCAGTGATGAAAGCAGTTGTTAGCTGCACCGAGTGTTGAATTGAGAAAATATTTTTTTTGCCACTCATTTATCTATAGTCCATATGTATCCCCCTGAGACAACAGATCACTGCACCTGCACTTTAATTAAAAAAATCTATTTAAATACATTTCTACAATGCACCTACTGTACCTAAAGCAAACACAGCAAACACTTAAGCTCTCAAGTTTGAAACACAAAGAAGACCAACATGTAAAGCAACATTCAAGCAACACTCTTTTTTTGGAAGATTTTTTAGGGATGGAGGGGATCATACACAAGAAACGGTCCCTGGCTGGATTTGAACCCCTACATGAATATAACTATGGATATTTAAAAAGAAGCAAACAACATTAAAAACTATTATATAATATTGTCACAGCAAATTAACAAACCAAATCAATTCTTTAACCTTTACAACATATGCAAAACAATTAAGCACTATCAGATTCAGATGAAATGCAATTGTTTATTTCTTATCTATTTAAATAGTAGATAAGTCTTCAAAGCTGAAAATATACAAGAAAATAAGCCCAAACATCTTCAAAAAAGTACCCAGAAGTTTGCCTTCAGAAGTTTATTTGTTGGAAGTTAAAAAATTGCCATAATGGATAAAACAAAATACTTAAATGTTGGATCGTCCTCTCAAGATAGCAACATAAATAAAAAGACAAGTAATCATAATTAGTATTCTTTACCTTTGTTTTTTACAGAGAGGTTTAAAAGATACAGACCACACACAAGAACGTGTGCACAGACATCCGACTACACTGGTTTTCTAACATAAACTGAACAGGTCCTGTGAAACGCTATTGACTATGAGCAGGACTCTTTTCGGGGAGACCATAACATTTAAGTAACCTAATATCTGCTATCATCCATCGCAAAATTAAAACGCTGCACTCCCTGGCACCATATGTTCCATGTCGTAGAACAGGTGAACAGTACAGTAAGTGAAACCCATCTCAATTTTTCGTGTAGTAAAACTACATTTGCAGGAGCACTCTGCAGGCAGCTGCTGCACCTGCGCCCAGACGATCATCCATCATCCTGAACGGGCCGCAGCTGTCCTCCGGTCTAAGAGATGGAGATGTTACATTACAATCTCCACATCATCCAGGCAATCTGATCCTCTCTCTCTCTGTTTCCTGCCATTGTGTCAAACACAAGAGCTTTATTTGAAAAACATTGCTCTGCAAATTGTCAGGATTGGAAGTATCTGATGGCGTGGTTATGGAAGGAGTTGCGCTGACTCGACTTGAAAATCACAAAAGGTTCGGCCAATTTAATCTGGATTCTCACACAATAAAAAATAAGAAGGGGAAGTGGCGGCGCCTGGCAGGATGTTCAGGAGGGCACCTGCTAAGACAAAGTGTTCATATCACAGCGGCAGACACATTTTTCAGCTGACCACGTGAAGACATTCATTTTTAAAAGCAGTTCCACAAATGATGTCAGGATTTCTCTTACATCCATTACAGAGCTGACTCATCTCCGGTCCGACAGCTCGATGTGGAGAGTGTGGCGGCAGGCGGAGAAAACTGTGATCCCGTATTTCATATTGGATTTTCTTAAGTCAATAAAACTTCAAACATAAATCCCTGGAAAAAAAAGAAATAGATACAAAATACATGGAAACACACCACATATATTTTTGAATGCATATCAATAATAGCTTTCTCAGTAGTATCGCTCATTCTTTTTCATATACATGATCATATAAATAATACACAACCTAATAGGAATGTCAGTAAACTATCTAGAAGCCATCTATCTTAGTATGGATCATTACATGCAGAACTCTTAGCGAATCAGTTGATTGATTGGTCAGTGGTTTAATCTATAAAATGTCAGATAATTGTTAAAGAAATACCCATCACATTTATTCACAGCTCAAGGTGACGTCTTCAGCTTGCTTGTTTTGTCTGAACTACAGTTCTGACCCTAATTATAGCAAATCAGATAAGACACAATAAAGCCGATTATAATAGGAAGCTGGACTGATTTATGGCATTTTTCTCCGTAAAACGACAATTATCATAAATATTATCGATCTGTCCGGAACCGATAAATTGGCTCATCGTTAGACTTCTTGTGCTTTTGCAGTTGATGGAAACGTCAACAAACTACGGTTACTGTAATCAGTAGTACTAGTCAATGATTATTGCATGAAATAAAGCTTGAATTGGATATACTTTTATACGTTTTTTTACTCCTAAAGCACAATGATCATAGTGGCAACGCTCAACAAGAAGCTGGCTTTGAGCCAACAATGCTCGCTAATGAAGACGACTTCTCAAGGGGGTGCTTTTGAATGTAATAAACACTTTAAAAGAGTAATTTTTACTCGGCATACAGAAATAGAAGAATATGACTTAATTGCATTTGGCATTCAAGCAAACAATCCCACAAGTTTGTACGTGTGAGGTGTTGGAGAGGATGCTTCAACATAGCTGAATGATGAAGTACACTGTTTCCAGATTTCTTTTGAATCCCTTTTTTAACTAGCTGTTTATTTGGGAATAAAGCTGTGTTTCTGATTCAACTTGCAGTGGTATTATTGACAACGCTGACATCTTTGTTGCTGATAACTGTAGATTGCTTCAGTCATAAGCATTCAAACAACAACAATCAGCTCTCATTTTGAGCTTGATTTGAAGACATTTGTTGTTTTTTTGTGTCGAACAGTATCTCCTCTCTTGCAAATGGGTTGAATATCAGAATGAAACCTAAAAACAGCTTCCTCCTCCTGTTGCTGCAGCTTGGACACCCATCAGGGATTGCCAGGAGTGAAACCTCACCACGCCATCGCCTCATTCTGCTCTTCAGCTCGTCCACTCCCACGGCCGGCCAGCAGCGGTGTCTGCTGATCTCCAACCAGCCGGGTCTGACAGCCATGATTCGAGAAGACCCTCTGCTTCGGCTCAGATCAGAGATCAGCTCGACGCTTGATGGCTAGATCTTTCCGTACAACGCGCTGGGGGCCTTTCTGCTGAGGTACGTCTCGACTCCCTCTGCAGGTTCTATCATTCAAGTGGAGCCATTTTTGCGCTGCTTTTGTTGATGTTGAGGGAAGTGTCAGTCATGTCTGATTAAAACTGAGTGGAACCGGTTTATGTAAATGAGGCTCTCGCATAACATTTCCTCTATTCTGTATACATGTGTGCCTGTCTGCATAAAGCAAGCCGGTAGTTTAAAAAGAATGCGCCATTTATTGGTAGTGACAGTGTTTTCTTCTAAAGCAATAAGACTCAGGTTGTGGTTGGATTTACTGTGTTATTGTCTCCTACTGTGGTCCAGATTTATGATCTCTATGACAAGGCATCAGATATGGCACACAGTTCATTTCAGGAGGCGCTGGATTGGATATTAAATCATTTAATAGGATACCTGGGATCTCACCTTTTCTAATAAATTATTCATTACGTTTAATGGTCCCCGGTTTCCCCCCTAGGATTGCTATACAGTTAAGTTCAATTTGAAAAGGCATACATCTGCACATTCTGTGGCAGATGATGACAATAAGCATCCTGCTAATAAATAATGCCACATGAAATCGGCTGTACCTTTTTTGCTGCAGCGAGTCTTTGGCCGTGTCACAGTCTAACTCACTCTTATTTTTCTCCATTGCAGTATCCCTCACTGCGTAGTAGCACATGGATTTCAAGACTTCAAATGAAGAGGTTGGTGGCATTCAATCAAAGGAAAATGTTGACAGTTAATTGACAATGATTATAGAAACAGCTCTGGCATTTTCAAATGCCTGAGACAACATCTCTGAAAGCATGCGGCTAGAGCACCGATGTAACAATTTCTGTATTAAAAGGAGTACTTTGAATACATAAATTGTTACATCTGCACAAATAACCAAATCACATAACAAACACTTAGATTGTTTTAAAAAAATCACAGTAAAACACAGACAAATCGGTCTTCGGAAGAAAAGTTCACACTTCATGATGAATATGCAAAGATAAAACATGGTTTTTAGATAGTCAATTTAATCCAAAGTGTCAGGACGGAAACAACAAATGTGGCAAGAAATAAAAGATTAAATATATACCAGATATCTTGCCGTTAAAGGACAAAGTATATAACAAATATGACAACATACATAAGATGTTGTTGCTGCTCATCAGTTTCCATGAGCTTGTTCTGAAACTGTTTTGTGTTCTCATGATGAAAAATGATCTGCCATGTTTGTTTTGTTTCGTGTTTCAGGGTAGCTGTATTACCCTAAGCGAAGGACTTTTTTTCTAAGGAAAGAAATACACAATCATGTGCAAGCTAGCAGATCCACAATTAAGATGATAATAGAAAGGATGATTGGAAGGGAGAGTAAAAGATTATCATGCAATAGGATCAGAGATAAGGTCAATTATGTACTAAACAAGCGAGACAAAAGGTCAAACAACGCTGAATCACGTGAGCCCTTTCTGACCCAGCAATATACAGTTATGGCACCGCTGCCCTCATTTTGCTCCCATAATGACTCTCACACACACATTACTGTACTCCAAACAATGTGAATTAATTCACCGCTCATTCCATTTCTCACGCTGCAGCTGCAGGCCGAGGCTCATTTCTTCACGTTGCTCATTACGGTTGAAAGATAATATGCTCCGTGAACGTGCTTTAATTCAAGTTTGACCTGCAGAGATACTCCGTCTAAGAATAGCGACCGTGCAAACGTCTTCTCTTGTTAAGTGATGAGCGCCGTATCCCGGGTGACAGGGATGCTGACACTGGTGTCTCTTATTTCTATTAGCAGTCTTGTCAGGTGAAGGTGCTTCTTTCATTTAGACCTTTTTAAGTCAAGGACAGGACAGACATTGCAATTAGCCTGGGAGGAGGAGGCATATGCAGAATGCAAATGTATGCGGATTAGCATGATTTAAATGGATCATTGGAAACAGTCACAGTCCTCCTCACACTTGCTTGTATGAAGAAGGGAAATTCAAATGTGGAGGGTGAGCTCGGTTCCAGCCACTTCATTTCAAAGGTTCTTAATATGCCATCAGCCTTATATGTAGAACAAATGAGGATATCATTTCCTCTGTGTATGTACACAAAGCACACGACTCATGAAAAGCTGCTTCTCAGAGGGTCTGCTCATTATTTGAAACATAAATCAGAAGTTGTCTTGTGTTTTTTTCCTTTCTCTAAATGCGTGTTTATTACTCAGTGCTGAATATGGTTATTTGTTCCAGCATTACCATTAAAAAGGAAAACAGTAAAAAAAACGAAAGAGACAAACATCGTCAAAACCCTGTATCCTGATTTCATGTTGATCCTGCAGCGAGTATTCGGAACAACATTTAATTTCATGGCCAGTTAATTTAGTCGTGGAGGGATGATGAATGATTTGATGTCTCTCACTGTTTTGTTTCCCAGAAAAAGAATGGGATTTATTTGATGCAAGAAGGTAATGAGGAGCCGTTTAATATAAGACTACACTTGGCCAAAGATATTCTGACCATTCAAGAACAAGATGTCATCTGTGTGTCGGGAGAGCCTTTTTATTCAAGTGTAAGTAACATTGTCCTTATTATAATAACTAACTGTACCTTCATATGCTTATATATTGAAATGAGTTACATTTGCTGTACAATACATGAGCGTTACCTCACACAGATACTGAGAGACAATCTGAATGACTGCTTTTATGACAAATCTACATCACTTAATCTATTCCTCATACATCAATGTAGCTATTAAATAGTAATTAACCTACTGGATCATGGTGTATTATATTCAAGCCACACTTGCCTTCACATGAATACATTCCCTGAGACTATTACCTCTCTGGAGAAAGCATTATTCATTCAGTTACATGTTGCTGGGTAAATCTTTAAAGGTAAATGAAGTGTCCTCTCAAACATTATTACTAATTGACGTAAAGTGCAAAGACATGCTACGGTAATAAAACCTTAAACCATGTTAATGAAGTAATAGTGTAGACTTTTCAAAACTGAGAACCAATTCACTCCTCTACATTCAAAAGACAGCCTTGAAGTCATGCTGTTTGCACCATACTGTTAGTGTTGAAAGGCAGTCAGGCATCAATGTCCCCAATGTTAAATCAACATTTGTATACTAGAGCAAAAGACAGTTACTACGACTAGAAAATAAGTAAAACCCAAAATACCTGACACAATTAAAAATGTTGCATCCTTAAAACCATGCAAAAAAAACCCACTATCTTTGAGACAAACTATATATCTGACGCAGATCCGTAGATCCATACGGTTCAGTAGAAGAAAGACCAAAGAGAATTGGACAGAAACCAGGCCAAATGTCACATCCAAGCTTAAAAATGGTCTTAATTTGTTGGTCTTTTCCGAGTTGTAATGCTAACACCTCTAAACTTCCTCATTAACACATTATATTATTTCGTCAGCACCCAAACTGAAGCGTGTTAATTAGTGCTTCAGAGGTGCTTGTAGGCAGATTTATTTTCCTTTTTATTTGTCATAGCCAAGCAAGCTGTTTCCTCTTCTCTTTCAATCTGTATGCTAAGGTAAGCTATCCGGCTGATGGCTCCAGTTTCATATTTAATGCTTAGACAGGACACTGCTGTCTTCTAATGTAATTCTCGCCAAGTAGGTGAAAGAAAATAACGCGACCTCGCTTAAATGGTATCCTCCTTTAATAATGAATGTATGTAAATTGTTATTTTTTACCTCACAGAAGCAAATAAGGATGCATCACATATTTGTATTGGTTTTCTCTTGCACCATTTTATTTATTTTGATTGAAATTGAGTTCTGATAAAACCAAACGTTCCTTCTTGTTTAGTTGTAAGAGCTCCCTCAGGTTGAGCATCCGTCTGTACTGATTTCTGGTCTCTTAACTGAATCTTTTCCAGGAGAGGACTGTAACGATCAGGAGGCAGACAATTGGAGGGTTTGGCCTGAGCATCAAGGTAATTTAGATTAGATCCCAGCTGATTGGGCTGCTCCTCCTGAATGCTTTAAATTAAGTCTAAACAAGGCTTATTGATCATTTTCTTGTCAAACTGCAATAACAACGTTAGCTGAGGGACTTTGCTCTGGGTGTCTTTAACTCATTCTGTGTTTGTGATCCCTTTTTGTAATGTAATCTTATCTCCTTAGGGTGGAGCAGAGCATAAAATCCCTGTTGTGATTTCAAAAATATCAAAAGAACAAAAAGGTACATTGTGTTTTACAGAAAGTTTTTCAACCTTGTTCATTTCCTTCCCCTAGTTTGTTCTCACCAAGGTGATTTTTTATTTCCAGCTGAACTCTCTGGGCTGCTTTTCATCGGTGACGGCATCCTTCAGGTAAAATGCCAAAGCTCTTGTTTACACATATCACCCTACTCTGCAAAATAACACACACCGTCTCTTTAATAATTCATGTGCCACTCCGCAGAACTGCATGCCTATAGGTAAATGTCACACCTCAAGTCCTTCATTTATTACATGTATTCCTGCACATAAATAAATAAATCCCACATCTCATCTCCCTCAGCTCATCTGATGCAGAGCGAAAACTCACAAGCCAGCCTTCAACACTCTGTATTAATGGCAACTGTGAATGTGACTCTCTTGTTTACAGTTTTCGGCGCATATGCCTTAACAGTTATTGTGCTCGCCTCATTAATCATTTTGAAGTTAGCGCTGGAGTGATGCAATGCCAGCGGTATTATTTCGGGTAACCCTGTTATTGTTGTTTTCAGATAAATGGAATAAACGTTAGAAGTTATCGCCACGAGGAAGTGGTAAGCTGTCATCTCATATGTCATATTTTTCTTCCACTGCGCTTTCAACGGCTTATCTCGTCTTACTTTTGTATCTTCTTGACATGTAAAGCCAAGTGTTTTTGTATTAAATGAACCTACAAAAGATGTGTAGATCTGTTATCTTGGCTCTCAATTCTTAGTGAGAAGTTAGCACACCATTGTTCATCACAGCAAGCCTTCACAAATCCTCATAAATGACTGAGCCTGCAATACAAATATCCCTGTGATTTTTTCAGGTCCAGGTTTTGAGAAATGCTGGGGAAGAAGTGACTCTAACCGTGTCTTTTCTTAAGAAGACTCCTGCCTTTCTCAAACTACCCCTGTGTGAGGATTGCACATGTAAGAAACCTCTACACGCACTCTGTAATTAAAGTATAGGCCTATAATCACCATAACCGGAGTGCAAAATAATTACCCAAGAGTATTTATAGCTGGTATTAATTTCAGTCTAAGATTGGTTGTCCTGGTGAACAGCCACTTCGAGAAGAAGAAATGTTAAATATAGTTGCTTCCCGATTACAGAATTGGGAGTTTCAACTAAATAAAATGCCATTCTGCTAAAGAGAGGGTGGGGAAAAGAGAGAAATGGACACATCTTCGCAAAAATATTTCTAAAGACTAAACTGAAAGAATTGACGTTGCTCATTGTTGTGCAATTGATTGCTCTTGCATGGGAAAGCTTCAGCCCCGGCCTTTAGACATGAAAGCTTTCATAAAATCCTTTCATATGCGTATAGGCCGGGTTGACTGGCCGTCCAACCAGTCATCTGAATACAAATTGGCACCGAGCAGAAGCCCACAACGAAGGAGAACAAAGCAACCCAATTTTGTGGTTATCTGTGATTCACTGCAGTTGGAAACCTTGAAATAGATGTATGTGTTACTCTAGATGTCTTTGATTTATCAATGTTTCTTTTGTGTTTGTTTGTGTGTCCCTGCTGTACATTCAGGCATCCCCAGCGACCAGAGTAGTGGGACTTCCTCTCCTCTGTGCGATAGCGGCCTGCACTTAAACTATCATCCTAACAACACGGTACTTTTTTTATTAGCCATCTCTTGACTGACTGTTTCT